GGAAGAGTGAGAGGAGGATCAAAACGTGGAGGGTGATCCTGATGCCGAGATGGAAGACGTTGAGGCTAAAATGGACGCAGGGGAGGATGCCGAGGATCCTGACAGTGCTCGAGTAGATTTGGATGGGGTGCGTGTGAGGGTGAGTACGACACAAAGTGCAGGGGGCATCGGGCTTATACAAGCAGGGTTTGCCCATGCACCCGTACTTTTATGAAGAGGGGGAATGGTCTGCAGATACAGTGCCAACGCGTATGACACATGAGCTATTGGAGAGGATTGGGCGAGAGTATGACGTGCCGAGAGATGTGGTCTTCGCGCTGCCGCAACCGGATGACCTACTGAGCCGACCGCCAAGGGGGTGGGTGACGCTATACTGGGAGATGTTTAAGAATGGTTTACGCCTGCCCCTACATCCGTTTGTGCATAGATGAATGGCTTTCCTCGACGTCGCCCTTCATCAGATGAACCTAAATCTGCTAAGGACCATCTTGTGTATGTTCGTGTTATGGATGAGGCACTGTGGGATCGAGACGAGCACGAATATCCTGAGGTGTTGTTATGGGCTAAGGAAGAGCCCGAAGCAAGCTGAGTTCTTCCATCAGCAAGCCTTGCAAGGGAAACTGTTGGAGAATAACCCAGTTCACAGAAGCCGTGGAAAGATCACTGGTTTTTTGCGACAGGGTGTTGGGAAGTGGCCTCCGGGGTGGAGAGGCCGAGGGCTCTGGTGGCGAGGCAGTTTAAGGAGAAATGTGGGGTGTTTTTACAGTGGTCGGCTTGTCAAGAAAAATTTTGTCTGTTGTTTTTTTTTTTTTGTTGGGGTTTGGAATTCGAGCTAACTAGGTTCTGTTTTGAAATGGCAGTGGACTGGGAGAGGCGGGGAACTGTCTGAGAATGAAGAGGGGTAACTTGAGGTGATCCGTGCGTTGTCGCCTAGTGCTCGTGACGCTACCGAGCTGTTGTCGACCAGCTCGTTGAGAAGGTACGGTCAGCTAGATCCAATCCCATAAGGTAAGTTGTTCTCGGTCTCATGTCTGATTTTTTTTTTCCTGTAAGGGCTGGACTGACATGTCGTTGTGTAGCGATGGGCATTGACAGGAATGATCCGAAGTTGTTGCAGCTGTTAGAGAAGCTGCTCAAGAAGGGAGCCGAGGCATTGGGCTCGGGCCCGAGAGTGCCGCATCTGGATCGAGCCAGGGACGAGGTTGTGGCACTCAGCACGCCGGTTGGGCAAGCGGAGGGCCGATCGCCCGTGCAACCGCAAGGCTAGGATAGTGGGAAAAGGCCGATGGCGGAGGAGAGGGAGCCACTGTTGACAAAGAGGCCAAGGACCAATGAGGGGGAGGAGGAAGCGATCGTCCCCCCACCCACCATACATCCTCAGAGGATGAAAGTAGGTTGGTATTCTCGGGGGAGATGTCGTTGAAGGGTATGCCGGGCAATGAGAGCAATGGCGTTTGAGCAGAGCGTTCGGGTAAGTTGGCACGGTCTCGACTCCCAAAGACATTACCTTGACAACAGCCATCATATAAGGACTAGGAACATATATTGCGTTATCCACTTAAATATCTGGTGGGTTTAACACATCAGATTCTCCAGACTTTCCAGGTCGGCTCGCTTGCTTTTTATCTTCTTCCATTTGCTTACCTGAGCTCGTCTTCATTTCAACAACGCTTTCCTTAATCTCATTCAGATTTTCATCATGTTCACATTTGAAGTTGCAGCAAGCTTCGAACTTCATCTTGTCGATGGCTATGTCCATGGTTTTGGAACCACCATGGTCTACCAAGAATTTGATGAAACTGCCTGTGTTGATTAGCAGCTCTCCATTTGCTGTAACCACACCCACAGCTGTGGGTCCCTTCAAAAAGTTCATCATTTTTGCATTCCGAGATAGAGAGCCCGCCGTATCCTCTTCATTAAGAAGTGTGTTGACATGTTTGTAGTCATCAAGGCTTACCTTGATGACTACTTCTCCAGGGGGCTAACTTTTCACAGACAATCATAGT